ACTTATGAAACAGATGGGGTAAAAAGGCGATGCATGTGATTGCTGAATTAATCTATAATTTTGTCATAGTAATATCCTAAAAAAAACTAACATCCTCTACCAATAAAAGGTCTAAAAAAAAATTAAAAAAAAAAAGAAAAATTCAGAAACAAGGAGAACTAACAATTCATGTATGATTAGAAGTTTAGAACTATTAATTAACGAAACGAGCGGCTCATCGGACTTGTGTTTGTTTAGTATATGAGTCAGACTCGATTTGGATCGTTAAGACTCGAAAAACACGTGAGAAATGCTTCGCTTCATGGTCAAGTCAATCTCGATTGATCAAATGACAGCTCTTAGGACAAAGTCGCATATACATATAATATTATAATTTCTATAAATCAATGTGTTGAGGCCGAAGCTCGTTCTCATTAATACTCGAGCACGACTCGATCATATCGATAAACAAGCCGAGATCGAATTGGACGTTTACACCCATTATATCTATATCTTCTCATACATTAATTTTTTATTCCATTTTTTATATTTTAATTATTCTCTTTTATGCTTACATATTTTATACTATATAATTAAAATATAGATTCAAAACGATAAATAATGCTTTAAAAAAATTAAAATAATAAATTCCCATAATATCATGAAATTACTGTTTCATGTGAAGTCTTGTTCTTGAATGTGCACCAGTCCGATTAAAATGTCTCCAATTGAAGAAACAAATCAGTTATTTTACGCGCGAAGAACTCTCATCGCTTGGGCCCACAGACTGTAGAATTAGACAGCCATTAGGATTATAGTGTATATTAAACCAATCAATTAATAGTTCAAAATTATAAATCAGTAAATAAAGAATATTTGTCCCCGATTTTGTAGCCATAATTCGAAAAAGGAAACCTTTTTCCTTTTTGTTTTTAATACCAAAATACGGCTTCCGTACGTATTTGCGAGGTATACTGCATACATACACCACCAGCTACCGCATGTAAACTGTATATATACATACATTACTCGTATATATATAGCGACCTTTCCCAAAAATCCCCAAATTAAAGAGAGAAAACCCTAAAAAACCAGAGAGAGAGAGAGAGAGAGAGAGAGAGAGAAACATGGTGAGGACGAAGCAAGAAATCAAGCCGATCGAGGACAAGGCCAAGCGGCACACGACGTTCACCAAGCGGCGGCAGGGACTCATCAAGAAGGCGCAGAGCTTCGCCGCCAAGTTCGACGCGCAGGCGGCGGTCGTCGCCTTCTCCAAGGCCGGGAACGTCTTTGCCTTCGGCGACCCGTCCGTGGAAGGCGTGGTCGACCGATACCTCGCCGCGGAGGAGGAGGAGGTGGAGGATGGGGGAAGAAGAGCGGCGGCGGGGCTGGCCGAGGAGGATGCGCGGAGGATAATCGGGGAGGCGCTGAGGGCGGGGAGCTGGGGCACCGCGATGGAGGGCCTGGACGAGGCGGGGATGGACTGCCTGGCGGCGGAGATTGCCAGGATCAAGAGGGCGGTGACGGCGCGTGCGGCGGAGGTAGCGGCGCGCGAGGGTGAGGGGGAGGATGGAAGNATATTGATTTGTTAAGTAAATAAGTCAAGCTAATAAATGGTTGAACTCAAGTGTTTCCTTTATTATTGTTTTTCTTATGATTATTTTCGGTGATACATATTTATACAGTAAGTGTTCTTATGGCTATTGGCTAGGAAGTATAGTTATATTTTTTCTCTCTATATATATATACTTAAATTGAACTAATATTTTTTTAAAAATAATATAAATTAACAAAATTATGATATTTTATAATATAAACATGCATATTTGTTAAATATGACCCATTGGTAGTTAAATTACCCCATATAATAATTTATATTTATATGGCATTTTATCAATGTAGAAGTGATGATTCAAATCTTTTATTCATGACTCGTATTCATAAAAGTTCGAACTCGAATAATAATAATTTCTAATATTCAAAATTTATTTGAATATGAATTTGAATACACATATTTGATCAGAAATTATCAAATATTCAATTCGTTAGTTATACTTGTATGAAACATAATAAGGTAAATTTAGTGCGTAATTAAAGGAAAAAGGAATAATCGTCGAAAAGAAAAGGCTTACAACTTTCACTTCCGAGATTGGTGTTAAGTTAATAACGGGACGTTATCACGGGACGTTATCACGCTAAATATAGAAATGTAATAAATAAGGGAGAGATCGCCAAATAGTTAATGGAAATCGGCACAATGAATTACTAGGGAAATGATATATTAGGAGAAGAGTTAATTTTTGCATATTTCTTATAAATTTCGATGTGTTTTCTGAAGTCTTTGAAACAGAATTTATACATTGATAAAGTAAGAATAATGAGGGCTATGTGCCAATAAAAATACTAAGGTTGCGAGTGAGTGACGCATGTTTTCATGCAGATTGGTGCTGATGTTGGAGAGGAATCGGTACACGAGTATATGATGGTTTTTGGACGTCTTTTATCATTTGGGCCTGAATTCTAATGGGCTCAATTTCTCACGAGTGACACGTGTGATTGACCGGTCCATGACATTTAATGTTACAACATAATGAATATAAGATTGATGTATATAATATATATTAATATACTTTTGATTTCTCTATTTTGGTTGCAATATATATCAATATATTAAACATAAATGTAAATATAAATATAAATATAAATATTTAAAAATATTAAATATGTTTAAAAAATATATTAAAAAATATACGTTGACGGTGGGTTGCCAACGCTTACGATAAACATTTTTAAGGCAGTTTAATAGAGGATTACAATATAATTATTGTATGTTTTAGTAGTATGGGACATGAAGATATATCGCAATATAAAATAAATATGTGTAAAAAGAGCAAGACACCGATATTGCCGATCGATGATCGGCAAGGAGATAGTTTATCCATAATTTTTATTAAGAAATTTACATGATGAATACAGCCGAGTATGAGGAGTATTTTTGTGATCTTCAGGAGATCATACATATAATGTGTAGAGGTCTGGGGAAGAATAGTGGTGTTGTGATGTCATGGCGTGATTGACCTTGTCCTTGTGATGAACCCGGGGTTCGGTATTTATACACACAAAAAAAAAAAAGAAAAAAAAAGTGATGGTGCATTAAATGCGGAATGTCAGTTAGGGACGTAGGATGGTACCGCGTGTTTTCATGCAAAAGTAAATGGAACAGCTAGAGCAGTGATATAAACTTTATCGGTGTATGTTTAGATGGTAAGGCGATCACCAATCTTCCCTGAATAATCGACAACCTTAAGTTGTTTGTTTAGGCCGTCCGCATGATAGATTCTAATTTTGGGCCTTGTCGGTCCTTTTGGCTTAAGTGTGTATGTGGGTCATGCCTTTTTTTATCGCATATTTTTTGGTGTAGCAATATATTTATGTATATATTGTATTTACAAATAAAATTTTAAAATTATATATATATATAAATATATTTATGTATTTGTAAATAATATATGAAAATAAATTTTTGAATTGAATCGAATATATTTGATTATTTTAATCCAATCATAGTTCAGAAAAAAGAAAAACTACCATTTTCGGACTACATTTAATTTAACATTCATAGTTAAGAAAAACTACCATAACAGTAGGGTGCAAATGTCATTTTGACAAAATACATAATGTATTTTTCATGAAATATTTTAGAATAGAAGTAGTACTTTTTTTTTCCTAATTATGTAAAAATTTATTATTTAATATTCTTGTAATATAATGGTATATATACTACGTAGTGAAAAATTATATTTAACATGTAATAACATGTATTTTCAGTTGCATGAGTAACATGCATATTGATGGTTGATAGAGATATGAAATTAAATTAAAACATAGAATAACATGTGTGATTTTGAGTATTTGACCACCCAAAATCATCAAAAACTTCCACTGGATGGCCCAACATTACTTAGGCCCAACAAATCTTTGTCCTTAAGAAGCCCATAAAAAAGCATCATCTACATTTTCACTGCTCAAAAGTTCCCAAGCAAGCAATAACAAAAAAAATGGGAAGTTATGTCCAAATTCAGAACTACCCCAAGAATCCCATTCCTGTGTTATTGTCATCCTTCAGCAAAGATTATTATAACTTTCGGTCAAAACATTTCAAGCATTTCCATTTCAAATGCTGGGGTGCAGCTGAAAATGGGGGAAATTTTACAAGATTTATAAGGAACGTGAATGGTACTTTATTTGTATGTAAGGGTTTTTGTTTCCAGTAGATTCTTGGGCACAAAATGTTGACTCCCCTGTTGTAGCTTCTCAGCTTTCAGCTCTTTCTTTGTTGCCTTATCTTGGTTTTCTGTATTTTATCACCAAATCTAAATCTGCCCCAAGACTCACCCTTTTTGGATTATACTTCTTGCTTGCTTTTGTTGGTGCTGCAAGTAAGTTCTCTTGCTGCTTTCTATTGTTATTCATGTTTTAATTTGTAGCCATTTTTTTGATGCGTAGCCACAATATGGAGTAATTGTCATCTCATTGCCATGTAGTAGCTAGTTATTGTTCTTCTTTAACTGCTCTATGCTGTGGGTTAATTCAGTTGTCTAATTTCTCTGATAATAATGTTTGTGAGTTTGGGTTTGAGATTAACTTTTAAAGTAAAAAATGTGCTGTGTAAAAAGGAAAAATGAAAATTAATTTGGATCTTTTGTTCTGTTCTTGGTCTGGCATTTGCGCTCCATCACTTATTAACCAAGTTGAAGTCATATATCTTCTTTAAGCCAAATTCGATGAATTGTTCGAGTAATTCTTTTAATTAAGAAAAATCTAAGAGGGTATCTTGTATTCTGTAGTATACTCATTTTTACTAACTGAGTTTATATTTTTGCTTTCGCATCACTTCCATTGGGCAGTACCAGCAGGAATTTATGGTAAACTTTTCTCTACACGACATGTTTGCTTGCTATCTGAATCAAACTCTGCACTTTTTAACCATCGGCAAATTTTCGAATTTGCACTTTTTGGACAGCAAAGGTGCATTATGCGACATCATTGTCGAATGTCGACTGGCTGCACGGTGGGCTGAGTCACTACTCATGGTTACCAACCTATTTATCGTGTTGGGCCTCAAACGGGCCCTTCAAAAAACTGAAGATAAATCAGAAAACACACCAAGTGTTACTTCTCAAACCAAAGATGAGGAGAAGTCATTAGTCTAGGCTTTGATAGACCTGTTCATTCACATACTCCAAAATATGCTCTGTTGTGACGTTTTGATGATAGATTAGTACTATTAGGAATTTGATTAGTGATATTGGAGCTTCTAGTGCTTCTTTAATCTGTCTTGAATTCTGTAACCGGTTGACATTTTTACCTACAAGAAGAAAGCAATTTGGTATGCTCGTTTTTCTCATTTTCCTTGCAGTTTTATGTTTTCCGAAATGGTTTTATTGTGTCTTTGTTCTATTACTTGATGATTACATTGTTAGGTAATCTTAGACAAATCAGTGCTTTTGTGATGCTTATTTGGATCAGTTTTTCCACGTTGGAGCTGTTAAAAGGATGCATTTAATGTTTCATTTCTCTCATCCGGCATCCTTGGCAGTTTCAATTTTTTCTGCACATTTCATTTCATTCCTTTCATTTTTTATCATGAATAATTTTGTTCCCAAAGAATTCACTTGTTGTTTCAACATTTATGCTTTTGATAAGGCTTTTAAGTTTAATCAAGAGGTGCATGTTCTTGATCAAGACTTCAACTTTTTCTTCAGTTGTTATCTCTATGAAGCTTGTACTAAAGAATCAGTACATCCTTGTTCCCAGCTTTAATCGGAACATAGGTTTCCAATTTTTTTTTTCTACCACATTTATTTCCTAGCTTCAATCTCTTACATTACAGATACAGATGAATCTCGGCAAGAATGTCCTTCCCTATTATTTCTAGAGCACTTAAGAGTAAACTATTTCCTCTTTTTTATCTTTTTCACCCTATAAACTGAACTTCACATTAAATATCCAGAGCAGTTGGACAGGAAATTCGGAGCCAAACCGAACTCGTCAGCTCGAAACTCCATGCCTCCAATTGGCGAACTAGTCGTGGAAGCTTGTGCCGATATTATCTTCTCGTTAATATTAAATTCTTGCACTTGATAACTCTCCACAGGTGAAAAGTAACTCGAGCCCAAATGATCTTCTTCTCCTATCAAGGGTAAGTCGTAAATTTCCTCGTAAATCGTGGGGAAAGAAAACTGAGGTTGCATCGTCTCATATTTGTTGTTAATAATAATGTTGTCGTTTTGGTTGTTGTCCGAATTTTCGGTAGTCACTCGGAGGTTAGCTTTGAAGCTCAAAAGTGTGTGCTTATTATTATGTTGCTCCTGTGTTTGATGGGCCGACTGGTTGCTGCATGTGTGGGCCCCTTTGTAAGTGACTTCAAACACGTTTGGGTCAGAGTCCGATCTTTGGACTTGCTTTGAGGCCCAACAGTTTTGGGCGTGCCGGTAAGTGCACCGATAATAGCTTCTGTTGGGTTATAAATTGAATAAAAATTCTTTCTTGTTAGGTTTTTCACATGTTATGTTTGAAAGAACACAAAGAGAGAATTTGAATTTATAGAAACCTTGGATATTTAGCCCCTAAAATGTCCTTTTGCCCATACTTTCTCCAACTGAACCCATCATCACTTGGCCCATCAAGCCCAGTCTCAGAGTTGATCCTCACTTGCTCTGTCCACTTAGGCTGAAGCTTTCTGCCACATCACC